TCACATAAAAAATATCACCATTTTTACTTTTAAAATGTGAAATACACTTCTTCATTTAGATATAAAGTGGCATGCATGTAAAAATTGAAGTCTAGGTGTTAGATATGTAAGTACATATTGAGTGGGATGTGTGTAAATCTTCCTATATTTAAATCAACATAGTTTGTTCATGATGTTTAATTATTTATATTACTTTAATGAAACTAGGGTTGTGATGCCGAAAAAGCCTTTCACTCCCCCACGTGAGGTGCATGAGCAAATCACTCACTCCATGCCACCCCAGAATGTTGAGATCTTCAAGTCCTTGGAGAACTGGGCAAATGATAACATTCTGGTACACCTAAAGCCTGTGGAGAAGTGCTGGCAGCCACAGGATTTTTTGCCAGATCCTTCTGCAGAGAGTTTCCATGATGAAGTTAGGGAATTAAGAGAACGCTCAAAGGAAATCCCAGATGAATTTTTTGTTGTTCTAGTTGGAGACATGATCACAGAAGAAGCTCTTCCTACTTACCAAACCATGCTGAATACTCTTGATGGTGTCCGGGATGAAACAGGTGCGAGCCCCACTTCCTGGGCGGTTTGGACTCGGGCATGGACTGCTGAAGAAAATCGACATGGAGACCTCCTCAACAAGTACATGTACCTTAGTGGAAGGGTAGATATGAAACAAATTGAGAGGACAATTCAATATCTGATTGGCTCTGGAATGGTAAGATTGTTAATATTCTTTTTTGGCATTTATGGCGCTATTTGTTATTCTGGTTTATGGTGAAGTTAATGTTGTTGTAATCTAGTTGAGCTACAGATGAGGCATAGGTGCGCCATACCTGTCACCCCTTGTACCACTCACTCGCCTTTGTTGTAGTTTTACGCTAATATATGCATGATATAAACTGATATATGACAAATGAAAGGAAGTTCCGCATTGTTCTCAATGCAGGATCTAAAATCATGCTTTTGTGGTACAACTATAGTTAACTAAAAAGGACTCCATTGGATGATTTTGAGTCGAGAGAAAATTATTTTATTTGTATATTGCAATTTGCATGATTTAGTTTGATGGAATTGAGAAGCATACATGAATGGAACTGCACTTTGCTTTTCTATTGGGACTTTATTACCATCTTTTCCCCCATCACTGTACAATTCTGCTTCCTTGCGCTTGTTTTCCTAGCAATTTACTTGAAAAAGAAGGCAGGTTGCCAAGTTTATGGCCCCTAATCATGTCGCAGGTAGAAGATAATTCTTTTACGTCAGTTAAGTAAAAGATTGCATTTAAGCGATGGTACGAAAAAGGGATCTATATTTTTCCTAAGGTTAATCGAAAGTTATGGCCTTTCAGCAAGCATAATTCCATTAGCATTAAGTTCAAGAACTTCCATTAAATCAGTATTTTAGTGCTTGATTCATTCATCCAGCTAACCCATCATCTTTTTTCACTTGTCTCATAGGATCCAAGAACAGAGAACAATCCCTATCTTGGCTTCATCTATACTTCCTTCCAAGAGCGTGCCACCTTCATCTCCCATGGCAACACTGCCAGGCTAGCCAAGGAGCATGGGGACCTGAAGCTGGCACAGGTTTGCGGTATTATTGCCTCTGATGAGAAACGCCATGAGACGGCCTATACCAAGATCATTGAGAAGCTCTTTGAGATTGACCCAGATGGCACTGTTATTGCCTTTGCTGACATGATGAAGAAAAAGATATCAATGCCCGCCCATCTCATGTTTGATGGTCGTGATGATAATCTCTTTGAGCACTTCTCTGCAGTGGCACAGCAGCTTGGGGTGTACACAGCTAAGGACTATGCTGACATCCTCCAGTTCCTTGTGGCTAGGTGGAAGGTGGAAGAACTTACGGGACTGTCTGGTGATGGGAAGAAAGCTCAGGACTTTGTCTGCACTTTGGTGCCTAGAATTCGAAGGCTGGATGAGAGGGCTCAGGCAAGATCCAAGCAGGGAGGAAAAATGCGTTTCAGTTGGATCTATGATAGGGAAGTTGTGTTCTAAGCTTTTGGTTGAAAATGGCAGCTTTTATGGGTTGGTGGTGATAGACTTCCTTTGGTTTAATCATTGAGAGGGGTTTCTGAAGAAAAGTTTGTAGTTTTTCTTTCTTTTATTTTTTTTTCTAATGGTTTTCTTTATCATTCTGTGTTTTTGTTCTATGGGTTGTCTTTTGGGTGGTTGGGGGTCTGCAGGTAAGGCTGTATTTTGGGACCAGAGGGTTGCATCTGTGAAGTTGTGTCTTTGTTTCATAGATCTGTAATGCTGGATTGTTCTGTAAAAGTACCGTTGTTTCATGCTTTTGAAATTGAAAATTGAAATCTCTGTCTCGTTGTCTCTCTGGTCTCGGGCTACTTTGTAGTTTTGATATTGTTGAGCCTTTTTTCCTGTATTTTTCTATTAGTAATGCGAAGATGCCCATTACCCACTAATTGTTTCTTCATTTTTTTCTGCAATTGAAGCATTCGAGGCTGCAGGAATGCTGCCATTTTTTAGTCTTTGTAGATCTAGAATTGGGTTTACTACTATGCAAAAATTTTAGAAGTTCAATGCTGCTGGTAAACTTCAAAAAGCATTTTTTTAAGAAAATGTGTTATTCTTATTTACAAGTCTGCGTGATTATTGACACGTTTGCTACTCATTTGCACTGGGGAGTTTTCATTATTGTTATGAGAATTTTGCAGAATGAGGTTTGAACAAACATGGTGTACAAGAATCAGCCAATCTCATTCAATCCTAAAACAATATAATTCTATAAACACAGGGCTAACAATTGATTAAGAAAGCCTCATTCAATCTCATTCAAATCATTATCGAAATTCAGTTTTTAAGTTTCTGATTTTTTTGTTTTTAACAGTAGACTATTTCAACCTTTTTATTCAATAACTGGAGATTAATTTGACATTTTTTAAAAGTTGGGGATTAAAATGACTCCCTTTAAATGGTTGGGGATTATTTTGACACTTTTCTCGATATGTAAATGAATAGCAATCGAGTGGTATGTCTTTTTCATTGCTGACTGCCAAATTCTTAGCAGAGTATCATGAAGGTTGCTTATTTGTTTGGTGAAGAATTTAATCAACTTACTTTTTTTACTTTGATCCCTGCATATTGTGCTTCTGAAACTTTGTACAATTCTTGAATTTCTTACAGAATTTTTTTTTTTTGTTTCTTGGGTGTAATTCGTAAAAATTTTTTAAAATGAGGGTTCAAATTGTTGATTCTTGTTTTATTTAGAAAAACAAGTGAAACATCCCACTTTTTAATTTTTTTTCTTCAAATTGTTGGTTCTTGTTTTATTTAGAGTTTTTTGAGGTTTCTCTTTTAAAAAAGGTTAGTTTTTTGGGAAAAATTTAGCTTGAGTTTAAAAAAAAATTTACTTTTGTAGTAGTTTTATTTAAGTCTCTTTTTAAAAAGTTTTTGTTTTAAGTTGTATTTTGAAGAGAGTTTTATGTAAATTTCTTTTAAAAAATAATTGGTTTAGGTCGTATTTTGAAAAAAAAAAGTTGTTTAATTTTTTTTTTTGAAACAATTTTGTCTGAAATTGTATTTTGAAATGTTTTGTTTAAATTTATTTTCAAATAGAGTTTGTTTTAAGCTGTACTTGAGAAGTGTTTTGTTTAAAACTCTTTTTGAAAATGGTTGTTTTAAGTTGTATTTTGAAAAAGTTTTCTTTAAGTTTCTTTTTTAAAAGGTAGGTTTGTTCTTTGGTTTTAAAGATTTAAGTTAAAAGTTTAAAATAAGTTTAAGGAATGATTAGTGGCTAGGACATACAAGTCACAACGCGCATTTTGGTCATGGAAAATATAGACAACCTAGCCCACATTTTGGCCATTAATATATATATATATATTATATATATATCAAGAAGCCAACCTACATTTTGGTCATAAAAAATATAAACAACTCAACTTGCGTTTTGGCCATGAAAAATATAAACATCCCAACTTGCATTTTTTTTTTCTTTGTTTTGTTTTGTTTTTTATTTTTTTATTTTTTTTATGAGACATGCACCTATCACATGAATTTCCTAGCCATAAACATATACATTGCAATTGAATTTCCTAGCACGAAACATACACATTGTTTTAGATTTTAAGTGACCTAAGCATGCGTTTTATCACCTAATAAAACAAACATGAACATCACATGGATTTCAAGGAACCTTAACATGATTTTAGTTTTCAAATAAAGTAAAACTTAAGCTTCACAAGAATTTTAAGACACTAAGCTTGAGTTTGGTTTCCACATAAAGTAATCTTAAGCCTCACATGAATTTCAAGGCACTAAGCATGAGTTTAGTTTCCACATAAAATAAACTTAAGCAAGCTAATTTTCCTATTTGCATTGAACATACACCTCAACACACATAGGTTCCCTAACACAGGTTTTCTATATTACATAAGCACATAATGAAAGACATGAGTTTTTTTTAGCATGAAGCATAAGCACAAACCATATGGCTTTCACATTGTCTGACATACAAACATATCACATTTTCTTTTTTTTTTTATTAGGTTTCATGTAGGGTAAAAAGGAGTGTGGGCTTTATGTGTTGTGTTAAAGGTATGGCATGAAATGGAAGAGCTGATGATTGTGTTAAGATTTTTGTGCAATGGAAGAGGAGAGAATTGTGTGGGCTAGGGTTAGGGGTGAAGTAGAAGAGTGTAGGGAGTTTATGAGGGTTGTGTTAGGGTTTTTGGGTATTGAAAAAGGGGAGAAGTGTGTGGATCAGGGATACATTTTTTGGGTAGAATGGAAGGAAGAGGGTGTGGTAAGTTGAGTAGGGTTTTGGGTATGGGGCCAGGAAAGGAGAAAGTAAGGTTTAGCTTAGGTGTGGTATTATGTGTGGTGTGAGGTCTCAGATAGGGCGAGAAGAGATGTAAGAAGTGGATGTAAAGGCCAATTAGTGTGAGAAGAGAGGAGAAAGTGGATGTAAAGTTCATTTAGGGTGAGAAGAGAGGGAGTAAGTGGATTTAAGGCTCGATTAGGGAGAGAAGAGAGGAAGGAAGTGAATTTAGTGAAAGTAGGGCTCGATTAGGATGAGAAGAGAGGGAAGAAGTGGAAGTAGGGAATAGTTAAGTGAGAATAGAGGGTACATTAGATGTAAGGCTCTTTTATGGGGGAAAAGAAAAAGTAATGATAAGAAAAAGGAAGGCTCGATCATGAGAGAAAGGAGAAGGGAAGAAGAAAAACACCACAATTCCATGGACTACATCATGCAAAATTAACAAAAGAAATAAATGGAATGAGAAGAGGGGTTCATACCATTTATTTTGAATAGAAATCCTTGTTAGCCTTGCTTAAGAGATGAAAGTTTCTTATCTTGGTGTAAAGATAGGGCTCTCGGTTCTTGAAGGAAAAGAGAGAAGGGATGGAGAGGAAGGGCATAGTTTTGGAGAGGTGGAAAGGGGAAGAGAATGGAAGTTTTTGGTTGAATGATGAGAGGAGGGGAGGGGGATTTTTTGTCTAAGAGATGCAACAAGGGAGAGTGTGGAATTTCAACCAAGAGAGGGGTTTAAGTGTGGGGAGGGGGAGGGGGAGGGGGAGGGGGAGCTGGAAGTTTTTGAGGGATATGTTAAGGAAAAAAAAGAGAGGGAAATTTTAAAACGGGTGAAGGAAATTTTGAATTTAAAATAGGTGGTTATTGGTGTTTAGTGCTTGTTGACCTCACTTTTGGTTGAGGTCTAGAAACTTCTTTAGTAGCCTTGGTCTAGCCATAGTACTTTCCTATTGACTAGTCTTAGAAAACTAGAAAAGGTACCCTCACCATTAGAAACTCAAAACTCTTCTCTTTACTCAATTTGAAGTTCCACATATTGGTCCTAAACTCTAGAACTTAGTAGGTAAGATCATTATGAGGGAACTCAAGGAGAGTTCCTATAGGGTTACTTGGCCTTAGGATTGACCCTGGATGTTGGTTTGGAGCTAAGATATACAATACCATACCCTCATAATACTCTGGCTAAGACCAATACATAAGAACCCAAAATGGGGATTTCATTGATCCATGGTTCCTTTAGAATGGATATCTATCCAATTCTACTTGAAATGTTCATCTTGGGTCTTTTGCCCCAAACATCCCTAAGTTACCTAACTGCCCTTGGGACCCCTCTTTGACCCAAAATCTCCAAAATTCTAAAATTCTTAGAAAATGCCAATATATCCCAAATATTCCTAAGTTTATTTCTTTCAACTACCACATGACCCAATTTGGCCAATTTGACCATCTTTAACCAAAATCCCCAAATGTCCTTTAAAGACCCAAAATTCCCCAAATCCATCCCAAATGTCTATCAATTTGATCTTAATTGACCCCAGTTCCCATCCTAAACTCAAATTCCCTTTTTATATGACCAAACTAAACCAAATCCAGGCTCAATTGGTCTATGATTTGAGCTCAGTTTTGATTTGGGTCAAAACCCCAATCTTGACCATGAGACTTAATCTCACTCAATTGAACCCATAGCCTAGCCAATTGGTCTCAATTAATATTG